TGAGCAGAAACAAGGCATCTATTGTTTATGAAACTACTGTTCATTAACAACCAGTTAAACACAACAGTATAAGAAATTTTAATTTTTAATTGAGTTTAGTTTTTAATTGTAATTTTTTTAAAAATTTGTTCACCACCCAGAATCACTTGGTGAGATGGACTGCCATGCAAATTGAATAAAGAAATATTTTGAAAAGCTCAACATATGAAGCTATTAAAGAAAAAAATTATCAAAGGATGGAGCACAGGGGCTGTGAAGAAGAAGATACAACTTTAATTCTTGGGAGAAGACAAGGACATGTTGAACAGAAAGTTCCATAGAGATAGACAAGTGTAACTGAAGTCAAGTTTATAGAAGAATTTTAAAATGAGTGGGAAAATCACAGCTCAAATCAACAGGCTATAATATATGCCAGCAAAAAGAAAGCAATATCTCTAATAAAATGTTGCTTTCTTTTCCAAGCTAGATACCATAACCTGTTCGCACATCATGAAAAATAGAGGAGATTGTCCAATTTTTTTTTCCTGCTATTTCCTAGCACTTTCCTGTTCTCCACAATCTTTGGTCAATATTCCAAAATAAATTCACCTTAAGGATGGACCAATGCCTTAGTTATTTAACAATATGCCCAACACTGAGAAAACTATTACAGTAATCCAAACCTATGTAACGTTGTCTGTCACACACAGATACTCAGTTGTCCCTTTCTTGGCAAACTGGCTAATATCTGCAGGTTTATTTATTTATTGCCACCCATCTCACTGTATAAAGGACTCTAGGTGGCTTCCAAGTAAAATGCAGATGCAGAATGACCAAAACAAAAACACTTACCCAGCATACTCAGCTGGCTTCTGCGAAGGCACTTCCTCAAATAAATCTTCTCTGAATGCATACATAAACTGAGAGATCATCCCACCAATGAGCAGGTCACCTGGCTGGTACCATTCATGAGGAACAGGAATAAGATCACTCATGCGACATTGCAGACCAACTGTATCTCCCCCTATGTTGAAGATCAGACTCAACAGCATAGATTGTTTCACCAGCTGATGGCAAAATGTGTCTTTCTGCATCTGCAGAGTCTAGGTGATTTCACTGCCAACTTCAGTGGCACCTGATTCTGGCCATTATCATTCTCGAGAGAAATAGATTGGTCACAGCTTCACCCTTAACAAGGAGTTAAATGCAAGTCCACGAGTAACAGCTGAGCCTGCCAGCATTCTAAATTCAGATGCCCATTACAAGATTAAAAAAGAGAGATTTGAAAGATTACCTCCTCTGAGCCCCACTTACTTTAAATCCTCCTCCCAGCTTTGAATATCAGAGGTATGATAGACATGTTCAGATTTACTTTCTCCTGGGAAACGTTTGAACAATAGGTTGGCTGAAATAAGATTTATTTGACTACCTCCTGGGAGAAAAACTTGCATCATTGAATGCCATGTTTTGAATCCTAAACAGCTGTTTTGAGAATGATCATGTTTTCTCCCCAGAGCTCACCTCAAGAGCCTTCTGCTCCTTGGGGCAGATGGATCATTTATTCCCAGGGGGAGAGAAACCCCAGTAACTCAGAGTCAGTTTGACTCTACACTGGCAGAAAGCAACACAAACAGAAATTCAGTTCTATCAAGAGAATGGGCATCAGGCATCAACTGCAAAATGTTGCAATGTTAAGACAGAAAAATATGTTTACTTTTCCTAGGTTCTAGAAAAGTCCCTAGGATACAAACTTACCGATGCAATATTTATGTGCTGCATTTCTACTAGAAGAGATCCATGAAATGGGTTCTTCACCTTTGGTTTCCTTTAAAATACATCATTCTTAAATATTCCTAACTAATGTAATTGATTAATGATTGCGATTGGAATGGATGCCCAGTTTTTCTTTTCTTTCTTTCCAAGGTTTCCTTCTGAAACATTGCATTAAAATGGGTTTCTAACATGATAACTGAATTTGTGCCCTCCCCCATCAGTTAAAAATAAAGATCTCATAAAGTAAAATTCAAAAGTTTGAATTCAACTACTTTGCCTTAGATTAATTCATTCATTCATTCATTCATTCATGGAACCCCTTTCTAAGTTACTTTTCATCATCCTTGTGGTCCTGACTTACAGTCTGAGAATCTCTATGTTTATGCAGTATCTATGAATCTTAATTTTTCTCTTGCTTTTTTAAGGTCCTTCTCTTATATCCAACTTGCATCATTGGGGCCAGAGATAGTGAGACCTGGAGAAAGTTTCAACCTACTCTGCAAAGTTACAGATGGCTCCATCACTAGTAGTATCTATTTGTGCTGTTAGGTTGGTCAGTCTCCAGGCAAAGGGCTTGAATGGGTTGCCAGAATCTACCCCTATGATGGGAGAAAATGGTATTCACCTCTTCCTCAAAGCTGCACCATGATTGCTTCAGACAGCCCAAGAATGAGTAGTCCCTTCAGATGAACTCCTTATCACCTGCCAACACTGCTGTGTATTATTGTGCCCGAGATGGACAGTAGGAGAATTTACTGTCATTCTTAAAACAGGAAACTGATTCTGAATATACGTTTCTCTTCCATCCAAGGATTCAATTCTTAACAGCAGAAAGAGTTCAGCACTCAGACTATCAAATCATGCCCTTGGATGAGTGTTTATTCAAAAAGGAGTTTTAAAAAATGTTTTAGTTGAACATTTGGTTTCTTGATGTACATGTAGTTATTCATGGTTTACATTCACTTTCAAATCTCATCAAATCAATGTTTCTTAGAAAATAAAGTATGGGATGGGGCAAAATAAGGTAAAAAGAGATCCTTCCAATACTTAGTTGTGGAAAATCAGAACATTGGTCCTGATAGTTACTCTGGATGGGGACAGGTCCTCCTGGAAGGAATTGGTGAGAATCTTAGCATGATTAACCCAGCTTGGGGAAAATATAATATTGGGAGTTGAATGGAGCAGGAGTTTCTTGGGTTGACGATAGTTCATTGATTTAATGTGTTATTGTTGGATCAAGCAGAGCTGAAATCTTTATAGGTATTGTCATATGACTGTATTTGAATATCTTCTAAGAAACTTTAATTGCTACCCTACCAAATGATACTCTGCATCATATTTCTTGAGTGCTGGTTCCTATGTTGTTGATAGTCAATCCTAAAAGGCAAAATCTATCCACCACTTCAATATTTGTTTATAAATTTTAAGGCTGGTTGCTGCATGTATTGTGGCTAATTTGGTCTTCTTTATTAAAATTAATCATAACCCCATTTCTAAGGGAAATTGCAAGGTCTCTATCTCATGCATTTGCAGATAATAAATCAGGCATATATAATAATCCTGTCTTCATTTCAAACTACTCTTTGACTTAAATTATGAGCTAGTGGCCTCCCCAAAGTTATGGATAGGGTTCCTACAATCAACCATGAATTTAAATCTGGGTCTCTCTCATTCACCGTTTCTTGGCTAAAAAAGAAAAAAAAAGAAAAAAGAAAAATTACTGAGCCTTACATGGATTCAATTAGTTGAATTTTAATTCAATTCTATTCAGGTTTCATGATTTGTTATATGCCTCCTTAAAAGGTCTCCCTTTTTCAAAGAAACATAAGCATTTACGTAAAACTAAATCCACATTTGTCTATTGCAATGATTACAGAGAGAGGTGAGCTTGAAGGAAGACAAACTAGAAGAAGAAGAAGAAGAAGAAGAAGAAGAAGAAGAAGAAGAAGAAGAAGAAGAAGAAGAAGATGATTTACCCATGGCAATATCTGCCTTTTTGCTCATGTCATTCCAATTCTTGAAGCCTAACAGAGTGTTGTACAAATGATTTCAGACACAGAGCTGGCCTTGCATTGGTGTGACATAACAGTCTCTTTACCAGCAGGGTCCACAAGAAGCATCTGTATTTTCCTCTCTTCAAGAAATTAAAATGTTGCATCTGTCTGAGTTTCTCCTTTCCCCTCATCTTGTATCTCTGGGGCACATGCTCACTGGCTGGCATAGGGATGGCAGCCAATATTCCTACTCTATCTTTCATCACTTCCCCATCACTGCAACCTTGAGCTCCTTCTGCTCTTTTGAGCTTTCAGGGTTGTTCTTCTGAAGAGCAACAGAGAGGATCCTATACCTGCTTCTCTGCTATTCCACAGAAAAAATCTGTGCCAACTCCAATCAAGATTAATCTAAATTAATGTCTGGATATATTCATACAGTGGAACACTCACACTATTCTCCCTAGGTAGTTTCATCTTGGTGATCCTTCTCTGTATAAAAGATGGGTGTATTTTCTTTGCTATGATTTGGGTCAAATTCACCTTTTCTTTTTATGCCAAATTCCACACTTCTAATATCAAATCAAATCAATCTTTATTATGGTCATTGGTCAGCATATACTTCTAATGAAAAATGAGGCAGAAGGAAGAGCACATTTCATTTCATTTCATTTCACTAAATTTTTAATGTTATTAAAATCTCAAATAAAAGTGGAAATAAAATGATGGATAGAGAGTGAGTGGTTATGACCTAGCATGAAAACTTTTTGAAATACAGTTATATGTACAGGTTTCAGAAATTCTATAAATTTAACTTTTCGAAGAACCCTAACAAATCCAAAACTGATACTCTACGATACTGTGTTAAATACATTTCCATAAAAGATTAAATAGCTTTTTAGTATATTTATCCAGTGGTTTAGGAATTGAAAGCATAAAAACCATGAAAGTGGCAGCTGCAAACATTGAACATTGTTTGAGTCAATGTATCAAATCTCCAAACAGGCACTCCTCCTTTGACAAAAGTAG